TGTCTTCCTGCCTTGCATATATCCTAAGGAAGTGTGAGAACTTTGACTGTACCCCTGTCTTAAAGGAATGTTTAGTCTCCTAAAAGAGACTGGCTGGAATATATGTAACGTAGTGGCTTGAAAAAAAAAACCAGTGTGTGAATGCAAACATTAGTTATAATAGTGGTGCACAGAGTATTCAACCTGTCTTGGACTACCAGCCCATACCTGGGGTTTCATTTAAGTTTCTCTTCATGCACTTAGGCTTGTCAGGCACTTCTGTCTACATAGGTGAAGATGATATGGTGTGCATTTTTTGAGGGGGTGGGGGATGATGCCGGGATTGAACCTAGGGTCTTGTGCTAATCATGTGCTCTATCACAGAGCTTCCCTCAGCTTTGAAAGGCAACACGTTCCCATGGAGATCTGGGAACTGGTGAAGTTGGGGGTGATAGAAGATTCACTTTAGATTCTTCTTAGAACTGTGACGTTAAGTGACTAAATAATTGTCTGTTTCCAAGCCAGACAGTCTACTAACCACTGGAGTGTACAACACTAAATAAGATGGGAATATTTTTGCCCTCATGGAACTTGTCCTGTTCGTTAGACTTCAGTGGCAACCAAACTTAAACTTGTGCTTGTGTGCATGTGTAAGTAGCCACATTCCCCTGCTCTGAGATTTTGATTTGGAAGGTTTGTATGGGGGACCTTGCTCTTGAATCAAGCCTTCATGGTGATTCTAATGTAGGTGCTTCTGAGGCCACCCTTGGGGATGATATCCCGTTACAGTTGAGGGAACTACATCTTTTTTTTTTTTTTTTTTAAACTCCATCCTATATTCAGTTCGTTAGAATCTTGGCATCCCCTTTAGAGTGCCGAGGGTACCTTGTCAATCCAGTAGATGTGATTGTTTTCACGGGGATTTCTAACCTGTGCTAGACTGTGCCCTTAAATCTTGAGGTTGCTCCCTCATATCCATTTCTGCTGACGTCCTTCAAGACTGACTTAAGGGCTGGGGATGTAGCTCAGTGATAGAGCACTTGTCTACCATGCACAAGGCCCTGGGTTCAATTCCTAGTAGTACATCCTGCCACCCTCCCCACCACCATCACATTTATTTATTTTTTTTGGTTTGAACTCAGGCCTCATGCTCCCTAAACAATCATTCTACTTCTTGAGCCACGCCCTTAGCAGGAACACACATTTTTAAATGGGATGCTTTATGCTCTATTTTTGTGCTTTTTTAAGCAAATAATATAATGAGCATACATCCCTCTTAAATATGCTTTCATATATATCTATGGTGTCTCCATGTTCTATATACTGTAGGTTGTTCAGTGAGTCCCTTTCACCTGGACCTCTGCATATTTCCAGTTTTCCTGATCTGCAAACTATAGCTAAGTCTTGGGCATGTTACAGCCTTACCTAAGGAAGTGATGTAAGAAAGAGAATCCTTGAGTTAAAGAATTTGATAAGATATTGCCAAGTCAACAATAGGCCAAGTTACTTGTGGTGACCTGGGCAAGAATGTGATAGTGGTCATTTCTCTAGGTGTTTACCTGCTTGGAGTATTAGCCTTTTTTTAAAATTGAGGTTGATATTTTAAAGAGCAAATTCTTAACTGTATTAAATATAAAGGGTTATGTTATAACCACAATGTAAAATACTGAATGAATTTGTCTGTGGCCATAGATTGACCTAGCTTGGCACAGCTGGAATGATAGTTTGTAGCCAGAAAAGGGTGCCACTGAATGGTTGATGGAAGACGCCACACTAATACTGCCCTGAGTCTACACAGCTTAGCTTTTTTATTTGAAAATGACCTGTCCAGAATGTGATCTTGTGTCACAGTTCTTTATATCGGAAAATAAGGCAGAGAGAAATAAGCGTCCAGTTAGACTTGGATTTTCTCTTCCTGTCTACAACTTGTGTTAGTGGCATGAGATCACAATTTGAGCCTCATTATCTTTTGTCCATAAGTTGTGAAGGCAGGATTCCCACTTGATTTGTATAAGTGTTGGTAGAAAGGAAGGTAAACAGAAGTTTATGTTCCAGACTTGAATGTTGTTTGGGTAGAAGACTGAAAGTTTAGTTCACTTTGCTATACAGCGTGTATCCTATTTGTTGCTGTCCATGTATGTTGTCTGAGTAAGTGAAACAGTAATTTATTTAGCTGATAGTTGAATTTAACAATTTAATAGTCAATATAGTAGAAACATCTATAATCAATATAATCAGTGTTTATTTTCTTGACTCTTTTTGTTTGTTTGGTTGGTGGTACTGAGGTTTGAACTCTGGGCTTCCACCTTGAGCCACTCCACCAGTCTTTTTTTTGTGAAGGGTTTTTTGAGGTAGGGTCTCAACAAACTATTTGCCCAAGACTGGCTTCGAACCATGATCCTGCTGATCTCTGCCTCCTGAGTAACTAGGATTACAGGTGTGAGCCATCAGCACCTGGCTTCTCTTGATTGAAATATTTAGATGCAAACCTAAATGCAGCCTACTTCTAAAAGGTCAGGCGGAAGCTGGTCAAAGAAGTGAGTGATAGTGTTTGGTTGTGTACAGCCAGCTTGATGAGCACAGCCAAGCTGTACAGTTTCCCGTTCTCTTCCTGGCAGAGCTGTGTATCTATGCTGTGAGACAGTTCATGCCTTTGGTTGATTCTTTTCATGTTGAGCCTTTTGGCTCTTGTACTGATAAGAGGAGCTAGAGGTAAAATGGTAAGTTACTGCATAAGTGGAGAAAAACAACTGTAGATGTCAAAACACTAACTCTGAAAATCATTCTGATGTTTCTCTAAAGTGAAACAAGAGAACTGGATAATGGAAACTAGACAACCACTTAAGGGAAGTAAGTGTTCTGGAATGAATTCCAGTAAGTGAGTGGTGAATGAACAGTTTGAAGAAAGGTAGAAAGTCCTTGGGAAACAGGGTTAATGGATCACTTTTATTTTTATTTGTATTTATATTTTTTTTTCGGTTTTGGGATTTGTGTACAATAAAATATCCTATTTGAAGAATTTCTTGGAAGCCCTGTGAAATGGATATTTGTTTTTATAACATGATTAACTTGCTAATGGATCTGAACTCTGTATAGTACATTTACATGCAGACTTTTGGAGAAATTTTTTGTTAGGTAGTATATATTTACACTCCCCCAAATTACCAGAAGTGAGGAATACTCAGTTTGTTAACATTGTACTGCCAAGTCTTAGTGTGTCAGATGTTTGATTAAAATAGATTTGTATTTGCATATGTATAGCAAGTTTTTATCTCTTTAGTTACCCAGGGTAAATATTTACAGTATAACTTTCATGTTAGCTCAAGTCATATACAGCAATTGTGAAATCTACATATTAGAGTATATTTTTAAACCTTTTATAGAAAAATAGCACCTATTTTGCGTCATTAACAATTATGAACACATGAGTTATTTTTAAATAGATCCCAAACTAGCATTTCATCTGCAAATTCTAACTAGGTGGTGTTTGGAATTTCTTTCCTAAATCGACATTTTCTCTTACCATTTCTTTGGTATTCTGTCCCCTGAGAATTTGCTTTAGTTTACTGTGTTCAATGATAATTTAAGTGTGTCTCCTCCTCCTGCTCTATTTTGATTAGAAAACAGCATATCTGAGTTTGGCTCATGGTGTTTCCTTTGGTGTTCTCAGATGGCTAGGCAGCAGCTGTGGAATTTTTCCTGCTTTTTGGGAAAAGAGGCAAAGATACAGTCTGTGAATCTAGTCTATACTGGTGTTTTACAGTGTACTTTAAAATTGTGCATTATTTGACCTAGAAAGGGAAGTTTATTGTAGGTTGAAGAAATACAGTTTTTTTTACTTGAGATGTCAAAATCAATTGCCAGGTTTAATTTTAATTTTAATTTTTTTTTTTTTTGAAACAAGATCTTGCTGTATTGCCCAGGCAGGCCTTAAACTTAAGATTCTTCTGCATCAGCCTCCAGACAAGCTGGGGTTATAGACATAATTTTAAATAATTGACTATAAATTCCTTCCCTTCTAAGCGGCTGATTGGTACTTGACTTCTATAGTATAGCCTCATGTAGCTGATGCGTCGTTTCTCTACCTTTCTTCGTGTGTGTGTGTGTGTGTGTGTGTGTGTGTGAGTGTTTGAACTAAGGTGATGATTCTTCATGTTTTCCATGCTTTGGATTACTTTGGCAGACCTGTGAACCTCTTCTAAGGATGTTTTTAAGTGCATAAAACATGATTATCAAGGAAACAAATTATTTCAAAATACAGTTAGCAAACTGTTAGAAATTATAGTGATGTGCAGTTTAACATAAGTAACAGGCTCTAGCAACATAGCTAACTTTCAGAGCAGTGAGTGCAGGTGATATTAAAGACCTACAACAACTTAATGTGGCATGAAAGTATGACTGTTGGGCTGGTGGTGTGGCTCAAGTGATAGAGTGCCTGCCTAGCAACCTCAAAGCCCTGAGTTCAAACCCTGGTATTGCCAAAAAAATAAAATCTTACTTCTATTGATATGAAAATTACAAGTGCTGTATTCTTTGGCTTATTGCCATCATAGTGGAAGAAAGTGTTGCATTTCAGTCAGGGGATAGTGGTTCTCCCTTCCCTCCCCTCATTCTGCATTCCCTGAATTCTCTTCATGGACCCCTTGGCTGTGATCTCAGAGTGAAAACATCTGGACCAAGGCTTCGTTTGTGTCCTGGGAGGCTTAATTTAAGGAAAAAAGGTTTGAACTTTAAATATAGTCGTCCGATGAAATGTTTTTCAAACATCTTATCTGCCAGTTTTAGTGGCTTGAAAAATATGTCATAACAATCCAGTAATGTCAGCTTTCCAAATGGTCACAACATGCATCTTGTGGCTGACTTCCTTTTTCCTTCTTGGGCTGCATTTTCTTATCATCTAGTGGTGTGCAGTTGTAGTTAATATAAAACTCTTACTTTAGTTTCTAGACCTCCATGTTGGCTGTTGATATGTTTTGCTTTTGCCTGGTTTGTTCATTAAATTTTTTTTAATACTTCTGCAGGATTCGGAAACTTCAGATTCGAAATATCCCGCCGCATTTACAGTGGGAGGTAAGAATTTCTCTATTTGAAGTTCAGATCTAAGTGAGCCGCTCGCTGTTGCTTTTCCAAAGACTTTTCTCTTTTCCTCAGCTCTTACAAGCTGGGCCACAAAATCCTTCTCTCCTGGTCTTGGTGTGGGCTTTCTTTGTAAGGGTGTGGTATGTTTTTCAAGCTCTGCTCTTTGAAATTTTTTAATTGAAATAGTCTTGAATTATCATCTTCATTTAGTCCCAACCGGACAGGATCTTGTTGATTTGAATTTTTCTACTGAGTTTGCCGATTATATTTAAATATGAAGTTCCTTCTTGGCAAATGTTTAAAGAGATAAATTCTGCTCCTTACGCTTTATTTAAAAATGTTATCTTGCTTCCTTTTGCTCAGATGGTGGCACTGTAGTGATCGTGTATAAACACACACTGTATAGCACAGTTGAATAGACTGTAAGCAGTTTCCAAACCATGGTATGATGTCATGGTCAGAGTTTGAGACACCAGTAGTTGCAGAGATCATAGAAAATGATTGTTGACTCTTCAGCCAACCATGGAACCTGAAAGTCCTTCAAATCTACCTTGGAAAAGTGGTACAGGAAACTGCTCAGCCTTTGTGTACTTAGTAAAAATCACTAGTTTTTGTGTTTCAGATTAGTCTTCTAAAGTAACATTTGATGAGTTGCTAAACTTGGAGCCCTCATCAAAATGCAAATTATGATTAAAAGGATTCTTTGGTAGTGAGTGAAAGGAAGTTGGTCTAATTTTGATATACCTCAAGTTCTTCTGTTGAAATCATATTATTTGGGCTCAGAAAATTTTATACATTGCTACCTACATGACAGGTTTTTGCATTTCACCTTTGCAGGAAAGGGTTGGTTCCCTGGTATATGATAAGTATTTTTATGTTATATAATGTGTTAAAAATAAGCTTCGTAGATGGAAATAGTGACTTAGAGATTAAGCTCCATACCTTTCCCTGTTTTAGATTATTATTTGTTTAGGGTATTCAGCTGCTTGGGGAATGGGTTCCCAGATCCAAGTGTAGGGAAGTGGAGGCGGGATGAATAATTTTATCCCCATATTTTAAGATGGGCCATACATAGTAATTGCAGTTTTAAATGATTTAATACGATACTCTGTTTAGGAATTATATCTAGTATAATGTAGCTTCTAGTGAAATAGTCAAATATTTGCAGCCAATTTTAGGTGAATGATTAGAGTTTTAACATATCTTAAAGGCTAGTGGCAGAGTTTCCATTCATAATGTCCCTTCAGATTTAGATTGTGGTGGCTCTTAGTTTCTTGCATTTTCCCTCATTCTGGGTAAAATCTAAGTAATAAAAGCAATTGTTATTTTCTGTAACTTTTTCTTAACGGTCGTAATTCTTTTTACTCTCCTCACAGTCTTTTTTTAATTTTGCAAGACATGATCTCACTGCGTAACCAGGCTGGCCTCAAAGTAATCAGCCTCTTACCTTCACTTCCTGAGTGCTGGGATTGCAGGTGTGTGTTACCACACCTGGCCCAATAGTCCGTTGAGATGTCAGCAAGTTGGTAACACTGTCTCCATTTTCAAGTGGACACATGTGGGCATACAGGAGTTAAATAATTGAGCAAGAACATGGGAGAAGCCTGAAACTAGACTTTGGAACGCTTCACCTTTGACTCTCTCTTAAGATTTTATTTTTCAACATATTAATAAAGGAAAACAAATTTGTTAAGGACTTGTTATGAGTGGAATGAGCTGTGTGGTGTTTGCTTTCCTTGAAGACTTGATTGAGCACCGTTTTCGGCTCCCTTTGGAGAAGGGTCACTGTGAGCCTTTTTTATACACTGGGTGTGCAGGCTGTCTCGGGCCAAAGCTGTTCTGTAGATGGTGATGATTTTGCACCTGCAGCTCCAGATTCCCATGATCACAGAAGGATCTAAGGATCGTAGAAAGTAGAACAACCAGATGTTATGTGACTCCTGATTTGATGAGTGAGAAACACAGAGTGCCACAGGCAAAATTTTCCAGTTTGCAAAAGAAGTTTGACCAGATTCTGCTTCAATCTAACTTTGGGTTTATAAGAAATATGGAAGATGGAGGGCCAAATTAAATGACGTCATGAAGAAACAGCTAACCAAGTCCAGGATATGGGACATTCCACAGGATAAGTGATACTGTTTTCCTAGACAAGAAGAGGCAGGAAAAAAGAAAGGGGACTTACAGAATCAGACGCACAAAGACAAGAAAGGAAGTGTGTGCCCATAGTGAGTTATTTGTTAGCCCCGTGAACAGCACAGAATCCCTAGAGAAGCCTTAGAGTTGGTATTTTTTGGTTTTTTTTCTCCCCTTCTTGTAGGAAACATGGCAATGTTTGTGTTCAGACTTGGAATTGTAGTTCCACAACCTTCTAGTTAGGTGGCCTAGTTAAGTGATTTTTGAATAGGTTTTTAAAAATCTGAGTCTTATTTTCCTGGTTTTTTTTTTTTTCTTTTTTGGCATTACTAGAGTTTGAACGCACGGCCTCACACTTGCTAGGCAGGCACTCTAACTGCTTGAACCAATCCACCAGCCCTATTCTCCTCCTTTCTAACTTAGATGATGATAGTAGCCACGTCACTGGGTTCCTTAGAGCATTAAATATGACTTTTAAAACTGTTTGCTGCATATGAGTGCACGGTACTACTGCATTCTGTAAGTTCATTACCCCTCAGCCCTAAGTTCTTGTGCTTGTCCAGAATTTGATCCTAGCAGGTCCAGCTAGGATCGTAGAAAGTACACTATGTAGTCAATGGAGATTTTACTTACTTCTTTTTATTATTTTTTATTAGCATATTGTGCTGGAGGCACATTGTGACATTTACAAAAGTGATTACAATATATCTTATTCACCCCCCCCATCGTCGTCCTTTATTTCCCCTCCCTCTCAATAGGAGATTTTATTTATTTATTTATTTTCTGGCGGTACTGGGGCTTGAACTCAGGGCCTCACACTTGCTAGGCAGGTTCTCTACCACTTGAGCTGCTGCCCATTCCTCAATAGGAGATTTTAATGTGGAGAATCTCACAGGTACTGGAGGGATGAAAGAGCAAAAAGGAATTTAGAGGCTGTGAATGCAGACAGCAGGCTGGGAAATCAAAGGGAATGGGTTGAGGTTCTCAGAGCTGAGAAAACTGAGAACCTGCTCAGAGCCTGGGCTCTGAGCAGTGGAAGCTCCTTGGTTTGGCTGGCACCAGGGATTGGGGAGGTTATGAGTCTTGTTCTGAGAGGCCCAGAGCAACTAGAGGCTGAAACCAGTAGTTGATGTGGTGTTGCTCATAGGAACCACCAATGAACAAGAAAGAACTTGTCTAGTCTCCCTCCACTTCTGCCTCCTAGTCTCCCTCTAGTGACTTCTGGTGACAGAAACTTACAGGGAACAACTGGGAGAGGGAGCCATAGAGTGCAGTCTTAGCTTCATTGTCATGAAGTAGAAGGGCAGATGTGGACGGTTCGAACATAGTAATGAAAAGGCCCGTCTCTCTTCTGCCAATCATTTTTTAGGCAATTTTCTGTGAGATCCCTGCAAGGGGTGTCACAGAATCGGGGACACTGTCAGGTCACAGTGTTGTGTGGTGTCCTGTAAGACCTGTAACTGGACTGTTAGCTAAATACCACTGTTAAATCTTTAACTGCTATATATTATATGTTGCTCATGTACTACAGAGAGATGAAAATTGTTCTCAGGTTTGCTGGTGGCATATCTTGCATATTATGTGTGTCAAGCAGGGGTTAAATGGCTTCTAACATTTGATTTTGGATGATGATAAAGCATTGATACAGGCAGGAAATTCGCTGAATATTTCCCTTTTTTTTTTTTTTTCTTTTTGTCAATACTGGGGTTTGAACTCCTGGTCTTATGGTTACTAGGCAGGTGCTCTACCATCTGAGCCGCATCTCTTGGCCCTTTTTTGCTTTAGTTATTTTTCAGATAGGGTCTTGCAGTTTTTGCCCAGGTCAGTCTCTGTCTACGCTCCTATTTGTGGACCTGGGATCACAGGTGTGCACCACCAAGCCTGACTTATTTGATGAGATGGGGTCTTTTTGTCTGGGCTGGTTTGAACTGAGAACCTCTTAATGTCCACCTTCTGAGTAGATGGAAATACAGGTGTAAGCCACCATGGCTGGCTAAATGTTTTCCTTTATTTTTTTTGGTGGACTGGGGTTTAAACTAAGGGTTTCATGCTTGCTAGGCAGGCACTCTGCCACTTGAACCACTCCTCCAGCCCAGTGTTTTGCTCTTCTTCCCCTACTCTGTTTTTATTAGCATATATTCATTGTAGGAGGGGGGATTTGTTGTGACAACTCTGAATAGCTTTACATTATACACCCTCCATTTCTCCCCCCACAAACTGTCACCCCCTCCCTATCTTATGTGAAGTGATTACAAGAGGTTTTCAGTGTTTTGCTCTTAAGTATTTATGCAGATAAAGACACGAGGAAACTTTTTTTTGTGGGGCAGTACTGGGGTTTGAACTCAGGGCCTTGCACTTGCTAGGTGGGAGCTAACTTTTTGAAGGACTTGCTGCTAGAGAATTAAGGTCTGTTTTCCTCCACATATGTGGAATATAATTGAGAAATAGGTGAGAACTTTTTTCTCCATCCTTCACAAGAATGTACAGGAGACTCAGTAGATTCAGTATAATAACTAGGTCTGGAAGTCTCCTACAAGTGGACAGGTTTGGATCCTCAGATGCCCTAGGGAGGTGTATGTGCATGAGGACTTGAGGGAGTCCCTCCTGGGGTGGATGGTGTGTTGGGAGTAGTGATAAACACGTTTAAGGATCCTTTTTCTTGCACTATACTCAATTTTGCAAGTGGACTCCATTTCTTAAATTTAGTGTCTTTTCTGCATATAAAAAATAAATTACCAAAGACATAGGAAAGAACTTCTTATTGAGAATTTTCTCCTGCATCCTCCTGATCATTACTCTCCGGTCAAAAGAGTGAAAATTCCTGACAAGTACTCAGAAAATATTAAAAAGTATACCAC